CTCAGAGCCTGGAGCCTATTTCAGAGTCTGTATCTCCCTCTCTCTCTGACCCTCCCCTGCTCACGCTGTCTCTCTCTCTCCTAGAAATAAATAAAAATATTTAAAAAAAAAACAATACGCAATTGTCTGTGTTTGCTTAGGAACATACGTTCTAGCATATCAGTGATCATTAGATCCCTAAAAAATTTACTGACATGGAAAACCCCTGAATCTTTGCAGGGTTTACCTACATCTGTTGGAGTGCACATGTTTAACTAATACATCCAGTGAACGAGCCACCTTCTACTCATATGGCCCAATTTGGCTTTTGAATTAAATGGAAACCACTACTCTTACATATTTTAGATTCTTAAGAATGGATTTGATTTTTCTCATCTCTTGGGATGTGATATTATTTTTGAATTATTATCTTGGCTGGGATATGGGGTAGTTTTAATGGCTGCCATCTGGCCTTCTACATAATAGCTGTTACCCTGCAGGCCTAGGACCCAGTGTGTGGCCTGCACAAACTATTACGCATACCAATTCCAATTATACGTTTGGGGAATAAAAAAATTAAAATCTGATAGATCTCTAGATTCACTGGAACCTAAATAATCCAGATCTTAACCAGAACTCCCTTTTTTACTTGTCCCTTAAATGCTGCTAGTCTCTTGTCAGAGTAGACTGGGGCAAGGAGAGGGGCATAATGAAACATTATATTAATTGCTATCAATGTCAATCTTTTATCTAACATCTCTTAATGTTTTTGGATATTTCCCATTCACTTGTGCACATTTATCTAAGTGGATGACTATAGGGAACTTTGAGGAAATGCACGGAATTATTATCAAAGTATTTTCTGTGGTATTGCAGGGTCTTTTCTCCAAAGGTCCAGCTAAATATTCAAGCAATGGGGTTTGTGTCTGAAAACTGGCAAGAGTTTGTGACCCTGTCTTCCCCTGAGGGTGGGGGTTAACTCATCTCAGCAGTCTTGTCATCTGACCTTGATTTTTTTTCTGAATTTACAAGTTGAATAGTGTCTTTGCTGGCTACTCATTTATTTTTCTTCTAAAGACACTAAGGAGAGCACCCTTATAATTCTCTGTAGGTCAACCCTCCCTTACAATTCAGACCTGTTGATCATGAAATTTTAGTGTTCTTGTATTCTGGCAGTTAAACGTTAATGTTACGGTTAAAGTTAAACCTTGCCTTTATTGTTTTGAGATCCTACTGTGACCATTCCTATCAGCTAGTCTAGTTCTATAATGACTTTTCTCACTGAGAGAGGAGAGCCACCATCGACTTCTGAGTTATGCCAGTGCCCCTCTTACCAGTACAGACCTTAAAGTCTCAGTAAATGGTGCATCATGAGCCATTTCATGGACATAATTTTGTTGTGTGTCTTCCACTGAGCCTTTTAATTCTTTCAAAAACCATTAGCCATAGAAGTTCTGGCATTTTAACTTCACATGATATGGGCCAGTCCTTTGTCCCTGCTTCTCAGAGATTTCTTGGGATCCGTGTTAGGCTGTTACATCCTATAACTTGAAATGGTACTCCCATATCAATAATCTCTACCTTAATCCAATTTCAATGTACCATCTCCTTTGATCAAACATCTCAGATAGAAGCCTGTATGTGCTACTTCACTTCCTGTAGGTATGTGTAGGTAGGAATTACAGTTCCATTGGAGTACAGTCCAATACCTCCTTTATCAGGCCCAACATGTTCCCAACTTAATCTTAGTTACAGATCCAGTAACCAGAAGTGATCAACTATGTTAATGAAACACACACCTTGTAGAGGAGAGCCCTCTCTATTGTCCTCAGTCAGGGTCATATGCTAGCTCTTAATAAGCAGGTTCAAAATGAACAGAGAAGTCACCCATTTCAAAATATTGTGAGGAATTCTCACAGATGTCTTCTTGATTTTTTTGTATATTTAATTTTTTATTTCTGTTCTTTGAATGAATCAGACATAGGCAGGTATTTTGTTTTGTTTTGTTTTGCTTTTTATCCTTACAGAATAAGTTATTTCATTTAAACTCATTGTTATCAATCTGATTTTTGTCATGAGCCTTTACAAATCATAACCTTCTTCTATAGTCATATTAGCTGACACCCTTCAACTTCCCTCTGCAGCCAGATGAATAATAAACACCATTCCAGGGGGACAATGGATGAACAGAATGGTGACCCCAGGCCCTTGAACCAATAGATGACTCATGACACTGACTCTAGACAGCGGTTGTTTGGGAGGTAAAGAAACCTAATTGTGTCTCCACCTCCACAAAATACATACATACATACTCACACGCACACACATACACCAAACATCAAGACTAAAGCAAGCAAAATTGTTTGTCTTTGTCTTCTCTCATCCTTTCCAGGTTGCCTGTGATGTTCCAAAGTCAATCAGGATGTTCTGGCCTATAGCCCACATCCCCTATGTCTTGCTGTGTCTCCTTGCTCATCTCAGATCTGCTATGATCAGAACTGTGGGTAGAACAGGTGTTAACACATCACCTGCAATGATTAAGGATCCTTGGGCAGAAGGTAAATCCTTAGGGTTAACTGGAAAATTTTTTAGATCAGAGTAAGAAAAAAATTAGAACAAAAAGTCTTGTGTGAGCTGAGAACCCAAACTCAAAATCATAAGGAAAGAAAATCCTGATATCTACTTAATAAACTCCAGGATCCTTATTTGTTCTAAGTGGGGCCCTAATGTTTCCATAATAGACAATGCCATGGCTCTGCGTCCACCCTCCTTGGGAGTTCACCTTTTCTGACTATTAAGTCCCTGTTCTAGTCCTCAGCTCTCTCTGCATTTCAGCAATACAAGATAAAACCCTCTTTTTGTTCTGCCGGGTAGGGCTTTTGACTTTTAAAATTAACTTTTCATTGTCTATTATTGGCCAGCAGCTTTTTTTTTTTTTTTTTACATGTGTTTGGGAATCTATCAGTGACATTTAGCCATCCAATTCCATTGTCCTTATAGTTATTATTCCCCTGTACTTCTCAAACACCAGATAAATGGCGCCAGTTACCGCAGGCCTTCCTCTATAATTGCTATTACAACTCACCATTGATGAGGACTTTAAGAATGGGAACTCATGTCAGGGCTTTCTGAAGTCCTGTTACTCCTGACAAGGTCTTTATTTTCAACCAGGTTAACAAATCCTATCTGATAGCCTGCTTACTCAGACTAGTCCTGCTAACAGTTGTTGCAGTTGTGTTGTTGCTAAGGAAAAGACAAGACAGAATTTGGTATGTGGGCTATGAATTTGGGATCACCATCTGTGTTAGGAGGGGACCAAAGAAGTATTGAGTATTGAAAAATCCTATAAAGCACTGTATGCCCAACAAGCTTTCAGCCAATCACCATGGAGGACTATTTATGCTGTTGTATGCTGCTGTGTCTTCAATAGGAAAAATGCTTGGATCCCTACATTTCCCTACATTTTGGTCTCTGCAGTGCTTGAGGCCCAGGTCTCCACATCTGGCACACTTTTATCAGAGAATTCAACAAAAGTCAGAGGGCACTCTAGCCATTATATTCAAGACCTCCTTACAGAGCTATCCTGCAACACAGTTGCAAGCTAGAGATGTTGATCTCTAATAAATATCTTGCATGCCAATGTCCATCTCATTCTGCTGGAAAACTCAACTGACCGCAAGCAGTGTTAAAATGTAATTGCTACACCACATTTGAAATGTATTATCAAAGCTTTCTTTAGAAATATATTTTATGGGGGCTCCTGGGTAGCTTAGTCAGTTAAGCGTCGACTTTCACTTAGGTCATGATCTCAAGGTTCGTGGGTTCGAGCCCCGCATCGGGCTCTGTGCTGACTGCCAGCTGAGAGTCTGGAGCCTGTTTCAGAGTCTGTGACTCCCTCTCTCTCTGACCCTCCCTGGCTCACGCTGTCTCTCTCTTTCTCTCCTAGAAATAAATAAACATTAAAATTTTTTTTAAAAAAAGAAATATATTTTATGGGTATATCACAGTTGATATCTCTTTTAACTTTTACAATAACTCCCTGTTTGGAGCTTTCCTGGTCTGATAAGATGCAGGGCAAATGGCAGGTTCGTGCATTTAAAGAGAACAGTGACACAAATATGTCACATTTGTAAAGACAATACAGAATTATTTTCCACTCAGTTGCGATTTGACTATCCCTGAAAAGTCAGAATCTCATTTATGCTATTCATGTATTATTTACTATTTCAGACATTAATAGCATTCCAGGAGAATAAAAAATGATGAAACATAATTTTGTCAAAATTCCTCTATGTGAAGTGGAGGAAGAAGAAGAAAAAGAAGAGGGGAAGGAGGAGGAGAGAAGGAGGAAACCTAATATAAAAATGTGAATATGTTTGGATGAAAAATCAAACATCCATACTATATTTATGTCACCTATTATTTATGTTTACTACCCTGTGCGTTTCTGTGGATGATGGCTGGGGCAAAGTCATGAATTTGCTGGAGAAAATTAGCATTTCTTAAGTTCCACATTTAGCCCAACATTAATCATTCACTAACCTTAGCATTTGTCATTAATTGTTTATCAAAAATCCAAACAATGCAAATCTAGTACCCACTTTAACATAATGTTTGTTTTTAAAAACTCTTAACAACAAATTCAATAATATAAGTAATATAGTTTAAAAGTTGAAGATTTAGAACTAGTAGACACAGACTAAAAAGTACTAGATTTTCCTAAGGTGTCTTTCTCTGAAGATAAAGGCTCATCTGTAAAATAAGTGCACTAAGCAGAAAAATAGCAAACAAAAAAAACCACCAATGAGATAGCTATCTTTTTAACCTTCATCATTGGAATGGAGGCATTATCTTAATAGCAGGAATGTAACAACAACAACTACTACAATTACCATTGGAAGGCTGGTCCCATATGCCCCTTGATTATAACTTATTTTCAATTAGTTATGTATAGTTAAGTCCTTAAAAGAATAGAGAAATGAAGCTCAAAGAATTTAAGTAACTTGCCTAAATTCATAAAGCTAGACCGTGGAAGAGTTGGAAGTAGCTCCCACGGCTCTGGCTCTGCGACATCAGTACAGGGAAGTTCTCAGCCAAGAGCCGAGGATAAGACAGAAGTCCGCCCAACTGTAAATAACAGACCTGAAAAGTCTTACTTCCGCATCTACGTTTATCTGACGTTCTCCTTAAGTCCTGCTTATGCCTTAAGTCACGCATGTCACGTCCCATCATGCCACACACTTCACGTCATATCACGTCCCGCACGTCACACATGTCATGCATGTCACGACACGCGACACGATATGCGGCATGACACGTGACACGACACGTCTGCAGCTACCTTTCGCCTGCTTCACGTCAGTTCTGCAGCTAGCTCCTGTTTACCTGGGCTCACACAAGATCGCAACCTTCTTTGTGCTCCCACCTCTACGTCACTAGCCGCACCTAAGTAGAGATTCAGAAATAAATGGCGTCCGTCCAGTGGTGGAGCGTTTGACTGCAGAAATGTCCTCTCAGGGACACATTTTATTTGAGGCTATTTGTAGAAAGTATTTTCAGAGAAAAAAATATTGCTAAGGAGAATAGTGCCTTTTAACTTCAAGGCATGTACTCGGATTGTCTAATAGTAGAAAGAGGAAGAGCTAGGAAGTCTATAAAGTTTGAAATTCACAATACTGAAGGAGACTGAACTTGGACCAGCTGACACGAGAGCCTTGGGTAGTAAGTATAACAACTATTATATCAAAAAGGAGACTGTTGGCCCTTTAGGAACTAGAAACACCACTGCAGAGGTCAAGCCGACTAGTTAACGAGAGGATGGAATGATCTGTGGCCATTTCACCAATGAGTCATGTAGGAATGTTGCTTTTAAGGAGGAGAGCCACACATAGTTACATCCTGGAAATTTTCATAAATTGTTCTGTGTGTATTTTTACCTCGAAAACTGAGATTTATTTAGGAGGGTGCTGATTTCCCTTTTTCACTTCTAATCCTTGTGTTTATTTGTGAAGTATGCAGTTACAGTAATATGTTTAATGGAAGTAACTGAAAAAAAAAAAACCTGTAAGAAACCAAAACTTACAATACTCACCTCCTTAGTATTTCTATAAACATACAAGTTAAATGTAAATCTCTCAACAAAACAGTGTCTAAATAGCCCTTGTTACTGTGGTTGATTTGAAAGTGACTAAGCTCCTGATGACAATCATAATAATAGATAATATTTCACTACTTATAAAATGCTTTATTTATTTTTAAGATCTTAGAATGATTTTATAAAGTTATATGATAATGCCTTATGTTGGAAGGTGAGGAAATAGATTCAGAAAGGTTAGTGGTTTTTCTCACAAGACACTTGACAAATGGCAGGCCCTATGCTTCTAGTTCTCATGTAATCTATTGCATGTAATCATACAATCTATGTTCCTCTTTGAAAAAAAAAATCATTAGCAAAAAAATATACCTTTTCATCATGGCATTATAATCCAAAAAGCACAAATCCTTATTATTGTAATTTAAGACTACTTTTTAAGTGAAGGGGAGCTATTTTTAATAACAGAATTGTTTTTTCATCTCATAGTAGTGGAACTACTTTGGAGACAGCTGGTGTAAGTGAGGAGCCTCATGGTAAATGTATTCAGCCCTGAAATAGGCTGTGATACTGCTCAACTAACTTGTAATGTGTCTTGCAGCTCAGGCTGCTCTTTGGAAACCACTGAGGGTGCAATCCTGCTGCCCTTGCATTTCTTTAATGCTCCCATAACTCACATTAACATTGCTCAAAGTTCAGGGTACCAGGAACAGAGGGCAATTTTTCTCTGCTTCCTCAATTCTCGATAGCTTTGCAGTCATAGACATTTACCAGCACTTTCTCAATAAGAAGTGGGCATTTTGCACAGAAATAAGAAAGCTGCAGGGAAGCCCTGCTTACTGCAGGGAATCTCTGTGCTCCAGCCACGTGACAGGTGGCTCTGCTAGGGCACCAGCTGCTTGGAACCACCTCAGGGCAGTAGGCTGTGGGAAGAGGACTCCCATTGGCTGTGTGTATACTTGATTGGCTGTGTGACAGCAATGTCTTCCAGCCCAGCAGTTCTTGTTCCAGAATTCACCAGATGCAATTAGCAGAGTCAGAAGGAAACAATTTAAAATTTGCCAAAAGGGGTCAGTAACCTCATTGTTTGCCCATTAGTAATCGCAAGATACATCTTTAGAGCAATAAAAGTCCTGTGAAAATTGTGTAAAAGCATCACTTCACTCCTAAGTTTGCATCACTTCACTCCTAAGCTACTTACTTTGAAAATGTCATTATATAAAAATAAGTCTCATGAAAAAGAGTTTTTTCCAATTGAGATCTGTTTCTACATATAGCTTGCAAAAGTCATAAGTTCTCTTGGCAAACTAATAATTGAAAAAGCCCAGGACATTAATATAAATTACAGTTTGTAGGTTAAGATATGCATGTGCCTTCCTTATTTCCTGAACTTGTACTTTACCCTAAATTTTTCCTATGAATAAGGATCCATAGATTGATTTTCACAGATAAACTGAATCATATATTAAATATACCCAGTGTTGATATTTAAAAGGATGCAAAGCATCATCTCTTAAATAATGTAAACAAAACTTCACCCCTAAAGCAAAATGTTACTCTTTATTTTTCTGATGAGTATGCTGTCCTTGAGATTTTAACTAATACTTGAATTCAACATATTTCTTTTCTGAATATTTGGCATGCAGAAATCAAAATCTTTTGGGTAAAATGTACGTTCTGTTTCAAAGCAGAAGCAGTTAAGCTATTTTCAAAACTTCTTGACACACAAATTAAGAGATCCGCAAGAACCTAGAGTAAAAGAGACAAATGGAGAGAGTACAGGTGTGCTTTTCATCACTTCTACAGAAGAATTGCAATTTTCTTCACTGATGCTTTCTTTGTTTTACTTTTTTTTTAAAGCAGTGCAACATATGTTATAGGTAATCATATATAAGCCACTGGGAGAATAAATGCTGTCACTGTAATTAATGGCTTAACTTACTCTGAGTATTTTCAGTATTAATAACAAAAATGGGACTTTTGTGTTAGTGTGAACAGGAACATATGTTGCTTGTTGCATTTTGTTTGTAAGAAATGAAAGAGGTGAACTTGCTCCTTCTTCCTAGGTGTTGTCAGTGTCTGATTAAGAGCAGGTTAGAGTAATACAGACAGCACCCAGTGTTCCAGTATGCATTGATACGGTGTGTTGCTATTCTGTTACTTCAAACCCTATCTCTTTCACTGCTATTCTTAATATGGTTTCAGGATAATATGGGAAATTTCAGATGTAATGAATAGTCATTTTGATCAAAGAAGCAAGAAAGCAAACAAAACTTGAATAACCATCAAAGCAACTTTTGCCTACATTTCTAGATTTGTATCAAGACCCTCTTCAAAAGGATTCAACATCAAATTGTAATGTTCTTCCCTGGTGGTAAAGGGATTTCTTATTATTTAAACATGCTTTTTGTTCACAGGTTTTAAAACATGATCATCTATAATATAAAAAATACTTGTACTCTCTTCCACCTGTATGTAAACTATGATTTACCCATTGTTCTCTTTTTGTCCACATTGATTATTTGTTTAGGTTCTTTTGGTTATTGTTCTATATTAAAATTGGGCCCCTCTATTTTAAATTAGCCTCATGGATATATGGATATTTTTATGACCACATCAATTGTCAGGACTTGAAAAGGCACACACAAAAACTATGCTATCAACCATTTTCAGCCCTTTATTGAATACAAATTAGTTTCTGAAAAGAATAAATATATTCAGTCAAGTGTATCTACCTATTTATTCTTATTTCAAGGCAGATCATTATGGGTTTTTCTTAATTAATAATATACTTTTAATAGGTATATTAATATAATTTTATGTAAGCCAGCACCAAATGTTTGCCTAAACATTTTCAACTAAAAATACATGTATATTCAAAAACAAAGAAAAAGAGACATGTATTTTCAGTGTCTTAACACTGGCAGCATATTAACTCTGGGGCCATGTAACGTACAAATAATCTTGAAGATTTCTTTTTTAAAACAGGATCAGCATTAGATAGCTGTGTATTTAAAAACAAAGCCAGCTTTATCTTTTCAGCCCTTTTTAACAGACACACATTATAAAATCATGTGTGAAAAATCTAATTCTGTATCTGAATATGTAGTGAAAGTATGTTTGCAAATAAAATTACCATGTAGAAATCTGTTTAGTTAAAACACTACTGTTATTATTATCATTAATCCTTGTTATATCCATCATGTATCCCCAATCATCAACATCATCAGCAAACAAACAAAAAGAGTCTAAGCTCATGATACATAAATAGCCTTTTGCATGTTTATGGACATCGTTATTTGATTTATGACAATATATAGCTTATGTACACAGACACTGTGTGACTACTCTATCCAAAGCTTTTGCTTCATGTACATTTGCTACTTTTCTCAAGCCATTTATTAGAGATGTTTGTTTAATAATGTCTATTTTGAGATAAGGTATTAAGGATTCACATGTAAAATGACTTTCTCAATACCGTACATCTAAACTGTATTGGTTGGAATTGTTTTCTCAATCTCTACTAACTTTGCAAATTTTTATACTTCTTTCACTCCATTGTTTTTAAACTATTTTTAAACTTTATTTTAAAGAAAGAAGCAGTATTTTGAAACATTTCAATAGTAAATGCAGGATATAAGTCTGTCATTTCTGCACATATATATGATTAGCCATAAATACATATTTCACTGGTTAAGCATCATGTCACAATTTTTATATCATTTTGGCAATAGTAGGTACAATTTATCTATAGTCAGTTAAAATGGGGGAGGGTAGGAGAAAAGCAGTTTTAACTAACAAAAAACAGTATACACAGAAGTGTTTGAACTACCTCACATCATTTAACCAACAAGATAAAATTATTCCCACCTAAAACAAAATGACAACTTCTAAAAATGCCTGCCAATTTAGGGACACCTGGGTGGCTCAGTTGGTTAAATGCTTGACCTTGGCTCAGGTCGTGAACTCGCAGGTTGGTGAGTTCGAGCCCCACATCTAGCTCTGTGCTGACAGTCTGGAGCCTGGAGCCTGCTTCAGATTCTGTGTCTCCCTCTCTCTCTCTGCCCCTTCCCCCGCTCACACTCTGTCTCTCTCTGTCTTTCAAAAAATGAATAAGCATTTAAAAAAAATGCCTACCAATGTAGACATAGGCCTAGAAGAAAGCAGTGTGCAATAAATTATAGTTACTTTTACTGTTGTTAATTAGGAAGGAAATATAAAGGGAA